CCAAACCCCCGTGAGCCCCGTGAGCCTCACTGAGACCACGGGTCGGAGGTACTAGCAACGAGAGAACTTGCAGGGCTGAGCGTTTGAAGCCTGGCCTTCCCACCTTCTCAGCAGGGCAGCAGCACCCAAGGCTGTCATCATCTTGCCCTTGGGGGTAAAGCAGAGATGGCAGTGGTACAGAGAAGGCTTTCTGGCCTTCCCTGGAGCCCAGATGGACAAGGCAGAGCTGTGTGCACAGAGAAGGGGAGTGGGTATAAGGGAGGGGCAGCGATGTGAAGTGTGCTGGGAGACCTGCAGAGTCACCTGGAGCCCGCAGGTCCTTGGTGCCTCCTACGGTTCAGTCTGCGGCTGCTTCCAAACGTCCCCAGGTGCCCCCTCTGACCGGCCGCTCCCTGCACATCGAGTGCTTCCGTCTCACCTTTCACTTCCCCACCCTGTGTCAGGGAGACCTGCGTGTTCACCCCACCCCCAATATCCGCCAGCCAGCTGGACCCCAGAGCCCCAGGCCAGCCAAGCACTGGCGAGCCCAACACACCCCTCCTCTCCTCCCACCACCAGCGGCTCCCTTGGGTCCTCCACTCACCCCAGGCTCAACTCCCTCGTGTTAAGGTTCGGCTTCCTGCCGCCTCCACCAGACACCCACGGAGGCAGGACAGCGATGGCCACCTGTCACATGGCAGGCATGGTGCTGGGTACTTGATCCGACACATCGCCCCCTGGATCCCTGCCACCACTTCTCCCCAAGCACAGATGATGGCTTAGGGGAATTTGGTGGCGCAGTAGGGGCAGAACTAGGAAAACCCTGGAGTCTGAGCGGCCCAGACAGAGAGGCCCTGCTGGTCAGGGCCGCAGGTGCAAGTGTAAGCTGTCCTCAGCAAGTGCTGGGCCTCCTGGGCTGCAGCTAGACCTGCGCTCCCTTTGCTGAGGAGGGAGGGGAGACCCTCACACCGACCCACCCTGAGTTGGCTGCCTGGGCAGCTCTCCAGAAAGGCCAAGGAATAAGCCCCCTGCCCCCAGCAGAGACCCTTCAGTCACCATCCAGACAAGACCCCTGCCTCCTGCCCTCCCTCCACGATTCCAGAGTCTGCTGCTAAGTCCCACGTTGCGTGGGACCCTGCCTTCCCTCCCCCCAACTCTGGGAAGCACAGTCTGAGTCTCGGGAGAGAGGAGCTTTCTCAGCCCCCATGGAGACATGGGATTGGCTCAGAAAATCCCAAATGCTGACTTGCCAGCTCCAGGGGAACTGTGACAGGACAGTGGGGGAAACTTCCTGTGGTCGTGGATGGTGGGACGCTGGAATTGTTACGGCGGCACTGTCTTCTCCTTCCCCAAGTCCTTCCACAGAAAGGGTGTGTCTGGGGGTTGGACCAGTCAGCCTCAGGAAGGCCCTGTCTCCCTGCCCCTCAGCCTGGAAAAGGAACCTTTCTTCTGCTCCCCCAGGGAAAGGCCCCACAGAAGTCACTTCCAAACCCTTTTTAGCCACAGAATCCATAAGGAAGCGATGTCCTATACCACCCACATGTAATCGGCTCAGGGATCCGCCCTGTGAGGAGCAGGTGCGGGGCCAGGGCCACCCTCCCTTGCCAGCGGTGGGGCCCCTCAAGGCCCCAGGGCCTTCACCCCGGGAGAGGGAAGGATGCAGTTTGCTCTCCTGGAATCTCTTCACTATCTCCTCTCCCCTGGCCCCCAGCCCATGTCTCTGGGAGTGGAGGGGGACATCCCATAGGGACAGAGAGATGGGGAGGGGAGCCTCCACACCCTGCCAGCACTGAATGCCCTGGTCCCATTTAATTCAACAAGTACTTACCTGACTCTGACAACTAGACCGGCTCCCACCTGCTTTCTCAGAGCCCCCAAGTGCTGCAACCCAAAGTGATACAGCACCAGGACCCCATCCCTTGGACAGAGGGCCCCAGACTTTCCCACTTACTCTCCTCCTCTGAGTGAAGGTGATGGGGCCTGGGCAGGGCTGAGCCAGGAAGGGTTTCCTCTCCTTAGAGCCGGGGCAGGTGGTCTGGAACTGCCCTCACCCACTCCTCCTGACCAGGTGGTGAGTGGTCAGAGCCCATGCCTCAGGCCCTGAGGCGGAGCCCCTCTGAGCCACCCTCAGGACAGCACCCCCAGCAGGGTCCCCTTCCCGAGCCGTCTCACCCCAGCTCAGACTCTAAACACAGCCTGCCCACAAATCAGTGTCTCCAACATGGCCTCTTGGGATGTGACTTCAGAGAGGACCCTGGGGAGCCAGGAGGCCTCAGTGAAGAGAGGTGTTGCAGGCAGGGGCCCTCTTGGAGGAGACCAGAGTGGGGAAAGACCCTCTCCCGGCTTCTGGGACCTCCCACCAAGGCCACCCAGCCTTGGTGTGACAGCTCTGCTCTTCTGGGCAAACAACCTTTCCACCCCACTGGGCCCCCTCCCTTCTCCACCACCAAGTCAGCCAGCGTTGCCAGCTATGTCCAGGGCACTGCTCTGCGGGAGAAGAAAGCAGCAAGAGGAGAAGGGGGCGGGCCTGCGCCCCTCCAGCCCAGGTA